ATCTCTGATATGATATATGGTCTCTGATGTGCTATGTGGTCTCTGATGTATTATGTGGTCTCTGATGTGTTATGTGGTCTCTGATGTGCTATGTTGTCTCTGATATGTTATGTGGTCTCTGATGTGCTATGTTGTCTCTGATATGTTATGTGGTCTCTGATATATTATGCGTTCTCTGATATGTTATGTAGTCTCTGATATGTTATGTGGTCTCTGTTATGTTATGGTCTCTAGATGGGTTCATCGTCTCTCTGAAAAGTAATGTCAGTTGCTCTTGCTAAGTTCTATCTTCTCCAATTGAGTTCTTTATCTCCCCGCTTCTTTATGACAGGATCTCTAGTCAAGTTTCGTCTTGTTCTTCTAGATGAGGAAAAGAGTTCCACTTATATGTAACAATCCACTTTTTGGTATAAGATCTGGACGAATACAAGTGAGTTAGAATGGATTTCAAATTTGTTACTTCGAAATCGTTGGTAAGTGAGAATAATGCAGTACCTGCTAAAATAGGCTTTAATTCATACGCATACTTACTAATTTTGTTGCTATGAAATGTTCATCATTTGTGTAAGAATCATAATGGCAACTAATAATTTATGCGTAAAAACAACACCATTTTCCCAATTAGTTAACGGCAGAGAAGTAAGTAAATGTTAAACGCGAAATTTCGACGAGTAATCAATCATACGAGGATTTTATCAAGATTCTAATGCACATTTCGAATTGAAATGAATTGGTACAGAAATAGAAAAACTATGACCCATGCTATAATATGTCCAAGGAACTCCTGAAATTACATTAGATTGATAAAAAAATAACTCCGCTTCCTTCACGTTCACGTACGAATGCAAAATTTTAACTCGTAATCTACCTAGATTGCCCATTGAATCAATTAGTACAATTCAGAAACCGCTTACATCATTTTTCAGTAAACTAAATTTAAGGATCTCCAACGATACCACAGTACATTAAAGTCCCGACGGGACTAATTTGTTATCAACATTGTTGGTGAGCTCAGCAGCAATTGTTCTCGTATACACAGCAGCAGTGGCTCTCAGTGCACAGCTGCAGTGGCTCTCAGTGCACAGCTGCAGTGGCTCTCAGTGCACAGCTGCAGTGGCTCTCAGTGCACAGCAGCAGTGGCTCTCTGTGCACAGCTGCAGTGGCTCCCTGTGCACAGCTGCAGTGGCTCTCTGTGCACAGCTGCAGTGGCTCTCTGAGAACTGCTCTGCCATTCCAAGCGGTGCAGAACTCTGAGAACTGCACTGCCATTCCCAGCGGTGCAGAACTCTGAGAACTGCTCTGCCATTCCCGATGCGAAATCAATGTCGTGTGAGGCGCGCTCATGACCGTGTTTCATTAAAACTTCGTGAGGTTCTGAGGGAGACGAGAGAGAGAGGGAGCTGACGACGACGAGCAGCTGCCCTCGTGTGGATGTGAGGTTTGGATGAGGGAAACTCATTATGAGGTCACGTGCCGAGCATGTGCTGGCTGCCAACATGGTGGCAATTCCAACCCGGTGGAGGCGAACTGCCAACACGGAAATTGTGCCAATACGATGAAGGCTAACTGCCAACGTGGTGGCATTGCCAATACGATGAAGGCGAACTGCCAACATGGAAATTATGCCAATACGATGAAGCCTAACTGTCAACGTGGTGGCATCGCCAATACGATGAAGGCGAACTGCCAACACGGCAGCATTGCCAATACGATAAAGGCTAACTACCAACATGGAAAAAGTGCCAATACGGTTAGGGCTACCTTACAACATGTTAGCACTACCATCGAAAATAATGTGAAGACGAACTGCCAACATATGGCAGCATCGTTAGTAAAAATTCACGAAAACATATCAATGACGATAGAGATAGAAATGAGAAATAACATTGTATTCCTGCCTATTGCTGAGGACTCAGAATTAAAATCCTAACTATGTTGGAAACCTGCAAAAAGAAGATTTAGCGATAGTGGAAATAATAATATAACAGACAATGATGAAGAAACTGAAAATAATTACGAGTATATTTTATTAATTAAGAAGCTCAATGATTTGATTCCAACAATCTAAGCAAAATCTGACCCACATGAAGCTTGTAAATGAAATAAAAATTTGAATGGTCTAAATGGTGAATTAAAAATTTGAATGCTTTCATTCATAAACTTTCCATTCATTTAAACTCTTGAACCGTTATGCTTCTGGCAAGGAAAGCTTCAAAACCATGACAAAATCAGAATTCGACAGAAAATATTGCTTTTCCCGAATGTATCACCTGAACTCAATACACGCGATAGTTACCGTGACTCAGCAACACACCTTATCCAATCCCTTCAATCATGACGAGCCTTACTCTCATCATTGCTATTTTTCCCGGAATTGGATGTGCCAATCACTGTCATCCGCGTCCGGGTGATGTATGGCGCCCTCGCCACATCTTAGAGCGCGCCGTGCAAAAACCCGATGATATTAGGCTTGGCCAACACGTCCACACCAACACGTCCACACCAACACGTCCACACCAACACGTCCACACCAACACGTCTACACCTGTCTCTTATACACATCTAGATGTGTATAAGAGACAGGAATTCAGGACATGCAGTTAAAACATCGTATTATTTATGCCAGAATTTATTACTTACAGTTAAAACATCGTATTATTTATGCAACAATTTATGACATGCAGTTAAAACATCGTATTATTTCCTTCATGAGTCGAGGATTCGTTGCATGCAGCCAACATCTCTTATTATTTAAACGAGTATTCAGTACATGCTGTTAACACATCGTATTATTCACGCGAGTATTCACCATATATGCATGAGGTCAGCACATAATATTCTCTTCTACGTGAAATATTTTTCTCGTACCCACGGTCTGTTCATCGATCTATTTTGTTCCGGAACGTAAAGCGTATAGATTTCCATTAAATGTTAGTGCCAGCACTCAGACAAGTGCTTTTTCCCCCTTGCCAGAGTGCATTCGTCCGAAAATTTTCATAATGAAACAATGACCATTATTTCTATGAAGAAAAATTTCGTTAAGCCTAAACCAACGTTTATTTGGTAACCATTGGTCATGCATAGGTGTTTAATACAGCTGTTTTTATCTATTAATTTTGTATCATTGTGAATATTGTGTATGTATTATTTAATGACTGTGCTTTTTTCAATAACTTATTACGGAGGTTTTTACTATATTTTACACACTTTTACTTTCGTTTGGGAGAATATGTCAAAAGCGCATGGTTATTTTGAGCTCGACAATGTGACTGTTGACTCATTAATTATAGTCAGAGAGTAGAATTAATAAAATTAATTAATATCAGCATTTATTAATAATAAAATTTTATATAAAGGATTGAAAATAATGATTCAGTATCTTCTAGCTGATCAGGAAGCGCTCTCGTATTTATCTCCAAATTTCAAATACATCCTCGCACGCCATCCAAAATCCTCGAAGGATTTTATCTGAATGACCGTGTTTGGGCTCTGATACTGTGATCAAAACTTCATAGTGCTTCAGCCAGAGAGATTGGTCTCATTAGAATAGATGTTTATTTATAGTGAGAACCGTGAGAGTATGTGGAATAACAAGATTACTTCTTATAACCCTGGTCTTTAATTTTTTCCAATTACAGATTATTTTAATCTCTGCCTTAACAAATACTCATAAAAAAATATGTAGCTTTTTAGTAATTATCAGTAGCAAGTGAAAGAAAATTGAATTCACTCGAATTAAATATTCGAGAAATTATTTACACTTTATTTTACTTTCATTCATTTATTCACTGGATACACTTTATTTTACTATTTATCATTCATCACTGGATAATTTTTTGCAGCACAAGCTCCTTCTCCCTTAGGACGACATACCCTGCACGCAACACGCGAGCCCAGCTCGTCACAAAGCATGCAGCGGTAGCGCAGCAAATTGCTCTTATTGAATTATCAAGAGCGGGTGCCACAGCACCGCAGCCCTTAATATCAGTTAGCGAAATGCTGCACGAGAAACGCGCCTCACACTCACTAACTCTGAGCGATGACACCTCCATGAGAGCCCCTGGCTTCCGGATCAAGTGTTGCTCCGGGACCGCGGCCGCCAAATTGTCGGTCTCGGCTTCACTTACATGAAATGTGGGATGGCAGAGGAGATTCCTAAATAATGTGTAGAATAACATACTTTCAAACTTAACTTGAAAGATAGAGATTTTTTTATGTCGAGTATAAAATAACATGCTACATACAGACTTAATTTGGCCTTGTTACATGACATTTAGGTGGTGAAAAGGACTTTTAATTAATCTGAAAACAACTGACTTAAAGACCAACCTAACCCACTTTCAAGTTAATAGAACAGCAATTGTATTTTTATATAATGTGTAACTGTAAAATGTCCTGCTCAAAGCTTTTCCATTCCTCATATCCATGAACTTTGAGATGGAAGAATTTAAAAATAAATATAAAATAACAAACTTAACTGATTTTATTACCCAACTGCAATGGAATGCGTGCAGGCAGGTTTATTGAGGCGTTTTGGACCAGGCGCTCGTAATGAATATAATGAATATAATAAAGTTGTCTTTGCTGTGAGATATTTGTTCATTCAGGATGATTTAGTAATTATTTGTAAACTTATTTGTAAACTTAGGATGATTTAGCATTTATTTGTAAACTTATTGCGATGTATCGCAAAAGTTAATGAACGTGAAATCCTACTAAATTTCATGTTAATAATTATTGGAAGGGTAACATTGTAATTGGGCATTGACACGTTCATGTAGTTTATAACATTATTATCATAGTTAATCTTAACATAAATTTATTACAATTTTGAATCTAACCTCCGTTTTGTGACGTTGCATGACTATACTATTATAAATAAAATTTCATGTCCGAATACGATCTCAATACCATCGGTATTGTGAATACGCGCTCGAATAGTCCCAAATATCTGCAGTGTCACGGTTCAAATAAGCGCGAACTTTTACTTTCACACATAATATATGTGATCATAACCGGAGGCTGTTCGATTTGTTGTGATTAGAGTAATGCTTACGAACTGGTCGTATCACAAATACCTCAGGGTACAACACGAGCGAAATTTTATGGTGTGAAGCCTCTATATAAAATTCGTTGACTACTCGGTGCAAGGAAGTGCGGGAAACCAACATTGGATTAACGTGAAAATGACCATGTACCTAGAGAAAATATAATTCTACTCAGTTCAAGTGTGCAAACTCGTTCTAAAATAGAAAAACCTGGAAAGTCAAAGTAATGGCTGATGCACTGGTCAGTTCGGTGGTGAAACTTCACTCGAGTACTACATGCTTGTTCCTGGTAACGTGTTGGGGGTTGGCGACATCTGCCTATTACTTCGGTGACCCCATCTTGTGCGTGTCGAGGTACGATGGCTCCGTCATAGAAGACGACCTAGAGGAAATGTGTATCACTTATTCTTTCAATACTTCGTCTCTTCAGTCTACAAAATACTTCCCGCTGCACTACAAATGGATGCACTGGATATTTTTAATGCTCGCTCTCATCTACAAACTGCCGGGGTTCTTTCAAAAATATATAATGTTCGAGCCATTTCTAGAAGATACTTTGGAAAGTATCGCGCGTCTTCCTGTTGATTTCGATCTTCAAGCTGCCCAACTTAAGTTATCGTTAGGTTACTGGCTTCACAACTATGGACGTCACGGTGATCATCTTGCCCGAAAAATTTACCTACTTTTCATAAGTATGTTTTCCAACTGCTTGGGATTCTTCGTGATGAATCTATCCTTACAAGGCCATTATTATGCAAAGCTCGTCACATACTGGCCTTTCAATCGCGACTACAGAACTTTTCGGGACCCTCTCAGTTCTGTGTTCCCTCCCTTCACCGACTGTGAGTTGACGCCCAAGATGCAGCTGTGGCTGGGCCGCACCGAGAGGGCTGGATGTCACCTGCCACTCATGGAAGCATACGAGAAAACTGTGCTCATTTTTTTCGTGTGGCAGATGATACTGTTAATTATCACGTGCGTCGAAATCGTGCGACTGATTTGCTGTGACCGCATAATGTCGCTGCGACTTAGAATGCTCTGCCCGGGAACATATATGAAGTCGCCGCTAATCCAAAAATATGCCAATGTCAAGTCTGGCGAAATCTACGCATTAAGTTTATTCAGGAATCTGTTGACCAAGCCGCAGTTGAGATGCCTCCTCTACGCCATCGCCAGGGACTATTTTCATGAGCACTGATGGATGATTCTGTAGTGACTAAGTTTAATTGGTAATAATCTTTCATAGACTGCAATTGTTTTCGAAAATATCGCCATAAGAAATTGATGTGTAACCCATTCCGTATCACATTTAATGCATAGCTTATCTAAATTATCAGAAGTATCAATTGCAATCGGACGAGCTCTTTCAAAATTGATTTTAAAAGTTCCTTATTATATGAACTGTGCCTTATCACAATGATTTTTTTCTCAAAACTGTATCGAGGTGCTCTATAAACATGTGACTATTGCCGCTTCAGAAGGAATTTTAAACTTGATATTTCTTGTAAAGTCATAATGTGGTGCAATAGTAATGTTTTTGAAAGATACAATGGACCTCATTATATCGTCTTCAATTATTAAACCTCTCTTCCTATTGTTACAACATATGAAAACGCACAGTTAAACCATTGCTTCAGACTTCCAATTCTAACTGACTGCGTAAACTCGCAACTGAAATTTGTGTTTTTAACTCAAACCGATCCAACAATAGTGGCTCAAACTTCTTATCAAACTGTACCCAATATACAACGCTCTACCAACTGTTGTGAGCGCCGATCAACTACAGCGCACGAGGGGGCAAAGTTTTGCATATCGAAAGCTTGATTGGCATCAAAAGTCGTCTTGCATACAGTTTCATACATTATTACCAAAATGCAACGCGTCAGTAATTTATGGTGATAATCAACCAGGTGCGTATGATGAATGGTGAACATAGTATAGCATAGCGATCTCTCGGCATCAGATGATAGGATTACACAGCCTGTTGCCGATTCTGTTGTGCCTGGTACTCGTTTCTTGGTCCATTTTGACTACTGATCCTTTGATCAGATCTAATAAAGGTGGGAAGCTCGTCTACACTGTAGACAAGGTCCCGCATAACACTATCCAGTCTGTTCTTAAACGAACGAACATGTTGCATTTACAATTTACCAATCACCTTCGGGAAAATTTATCGACTACTTTCACCAAATAAAATAAGAATTTTGATCGTACACAAGTAAAAAAGTCACTAGATTGCTTTAATCGCAGATTCACTAGAAATTTAAAAGCGAAGAAAACACCACAAAAATTTAGCATATCTCTTTTGAAAACGTTTCGGAGACCAGCTCCATCGTCAGTTCGATAAATCTAGAACACAGATAAATGCAGAAAATTAGTTTGGAGTTAATAAAAAAACACACACAGAAGTTAAAAACCTAAATTTACAGACAAAGGGCAGAATAATAAAGTAAGTACCTATCTATTCACAATTTCTAATGGATAAGAACTATAGGCAGCATTTAAACTAGGCTTCTCTTTAAAAATATACAATGATTCCAAAATACGCAGATCGGAAGCACCAGAACTATAAGCTAAAATCTTAAAGTCTGTGTCGGACACTGGAACGTTGCACTGTTCGGCGTGAGTGCGCACAGCCGAATGAGGAGGGCGCGATAGTAACTGCCCAGTCCTATAACTCCTACCTCTATGCTCAGCGACCCGAGTGTAAAAGTTGCGTGCCGTCATTCCGACATACGCAGATGCACACCGTGCACAACTAAATTTATAAACTAGGGACGATCGCAGAACAAATTTTCCAGAACAATTTTTTTATCGCACTTCATATCACAAATTTTCTAATGAATATACAACTGCGTTTCATCAAATCATTTTGACTGATTTGTATTCTTTATTTATTTTGTGAGCGAGATAGCCGTTTTCTCTTATCATCATCTGGCAACTCTGACCTGCACCTGAAAAAGCGTTTTCAGTTTCGGAGAATGAATTAGGTACCAAGAAAAAGTATTGAATCCGTAACCGTAAGTAGAGCGGTGAGGTCAATGACGGCGAGACAGTCGCCACAGGTCTTTGGGTACAGTTGGTAGAGACTACTCAGACTAGTCAGACTACGGGCACACAGTCATAGACCACAGTCCCGGACGTGTGGAAGAGTGAAGAGTCATTTGTGGCGTTGCTACTGCTAGCGCTCAGCTGCAGGAAGGCTGCAAGGCAGTAGCCTAACTGTCTGGACACGTCTGCGAAGCTTCAATAAGCATCAAACAACAGTTACTGTTAGTCTGTTATTCTAAAGTCTAAACTTATCAGTAGCCTGGTTCTGGTAGGGTAGGACGTAGGAGTGAAAGTCTGTCTATATTTAGTCAGCCTGGACAGAGTCCTGGGTCACCTGATGAGTAATGTAATGACCATCGACATCAAGGGGTTGACTGTCTCAGTTGAGGACTACGCAAGTCGCAACAAAACAGCTGGCTTGCTCACATAATTCAGAACTTCAGAAGTTTTACTAAAACTTCTTATTTACGTTATCTCTGTTAACATAAATTTGTTACTGTACGTCTGCAATGTTTTAAGGCGTATTTGCGTAATAATGACTAATCGTATTCGTAAATCGTAATCAATCAATAACATATGTGTTGCCACTCAACAGAATGAACAGATACAGCTACCGTACCTAACTGGCTGTGCATGTGCTCAAGACAGCTCAGTAGTCAGGGCTGAACCTAAATTATAAAAAAAAACATGCATATTAATGGGGTAAATCAAATGGTCAGAAATCCAGAACTGCAATTAACGAATATTACAACATACTGCATTTAGTGCAAGTGCATTACAGCCATTACTCATTACTGCCAATACCAATATGTATTACTGTATATTGGATGCCACTATGCCAGCACAGCCCAGCACTCCAGCAGTGGTGACCAGGGTTGAAGGTTGGCATTGATTAAATCATGTAATTAAATAATTTAATTTTCTTGTGAAAAATCGTGATTTTTTTTTATTTTTTAGATTTTTTATTTATTAAAATATATTGAGTGGCAGTATAAATGTAGTACTATGAGTATGATACTAACTATGACAAATTGAAATATTACAAATATAAACTTGTTGCCTTTAGGCTTTAGTGTGTAGTCAGTAGTCACTGTGTAGTGTGTAGGTACTAGCCTACTAGGTACTGTTTAATGTGCATTAGGTTCCAAACTTCCAATGAATTGTATGTTTTTGGTAGTGATGGTAGACAGAGGCAACTGAGGCATCAAGACCAAGTGTTGCAATACATTGTACATGGCAATGATAGCATAGCTAGCAGTTAGCACTCCTAGCAGCTTAGCTAATTCTTACAAGGCTATAAGTAGTCTTTAACTAACTATTTGACAATTTGTTATGTATTAATTACAATATACAATTTAAATGTGTTAGCTAGTTTATGCATGGTGGAGCAGAACCAATTGAACAGTTTTGAGGCAAAATAAAAAAGTAGTAATGGAGGTACATAAAGAAGAAAGTTTATTTTCCTCAAGGTTAGCATAACATACCATTTAAAATAGGGTACTTATGTTTTGAAAACAATATCAGGAAGATGGTGTCCGTTAGCTGCATCACACTGTTGGAGTCATTCTTGGAAGTTTCCTACAGCACATTTACATGTCTATGGCTTGGTATGACCATAACCTCTGCTGCAACCTGCAAGAATTCATTCCCTTAGCTGTGGTAGGGTATGAACACGACTTATGAACACCCTCTTTTTTAGATGTCCCCAAAGAAATAAATTGCAAATGCTCTAATCAGGTGACCTCACAGGCCACTGTAAATCACCCATCAGAGACACCAGACGTCCGTGACGGTCCGGGAAACATGCATTTCAAAACATTGAGTGACATTTGGGCTGTGTAAGGCTGTAAGCTGTAGTCCCATCCTGCTGGAACCACAAGTCTCCCAATGCTTCATTTTCATCAATGTTTTCCATCCTGGGCTGCAAGATATTTTGCAACATTGCAGCATAGTGTTCGGAATTCACTGTCGCAGTTACTCCCTCCTCCAACTCCAAGAATGACTCCAACAGTGTGTTGCAGCTAACAGCCACCATCTTCCAGATAGTTTTCAAAACATAAGTTTTCTAAATGGTATGTTATGCTAACCTTGAAGAAAATAAACTTTATTCTTTATGTACCTTCATTACTCTTTTATTTTGCCTCAAAACTGCTCAATCGGTTCTGCCCCACCCTGTATATTGAGAGGTTGAGATTGTACTGACCTTTTAGGCAATCAGAAAGATTTTCCACCCTAATATGAGTATTCTAATTAAATTATTTTATTTCAATCTTTAAATATGTCAATTTAAAACTAGAAACAAAACAATTACCGTAAAATGGGGTAACTTAGACCACTTTTATTTTTATGAATGATGCCATTTTTTTACTAGCTAAATTAAACTTGAATTGAAACATGCAAAATACAGGTCTATACTCTAGCTTCACTCACCATAAATTGCTGGCTCCTGCCTCTCATAGTCTTTATGTAATTTCAAAAAAAGTGGTGGTCTTTGTTACCCCAGCTCTTGGGGTAACTTAGACCGGTTCAAATAGTTTTTGAGTTGTGGGGGTTTTTGTTAAAAAAATGAAAAGTGGTCTAAGTTACCCCGCCGGTCTAAGTTACCCCATTTTACGGTACAATTATAAACTACATATAAAATAAATAAATGCAGTGAATGGAAATAAAATGTTAGCTTTTCTCATAACATTAGTCTCATTTCAAGTCGTTTGAGGTTTGTTTGGTTGTTGTTCAGTTTATGTTTAGTATTGGTTTATTGGTCTGAATCAAATGGGAACAGTGCAGTCAGTCACTCAGCCAATACTAGTCAGTGTGTTTAGGCTTAGAGGGTAGAGTCTGGTAGATTTTTAGGACATAAAACTAGTAGATCTATTGATAATGTTGTGCACTGTGCTATCAGCTACCTATCTGTTATGTGACTCTTCAATTTTTAGAAGATCCACATTCTGATAGTGTTTTTTTATATTGAAGCTGGTTAAATGGTCAATATTTAGCTTGTTACCTTGCTCCATACAGACTTTACAAAGCTAATGAATAGACTTATCAATAAATGTTTACCCAAAAGTCCCAAAGTGGTAAACACCATCTTGGCCATTATTGAAGGCAATGAGTGCCCTATTTAGCCATCCATTTTAATCCATATACTGTTATTGTTAGTAGGCTAATTGCAACATAAAAAATGACATTTCAAAAAAGACAAAAAAGCTGAAAAAATCATAAATAAATAAATAATGAAAAAACATTTATATTTGATTTTATATTTAAAAAATAACAAAAAAACACCAACCCTGGTGGTGACAGTTATTAGCTCTTATTCTCTTGATCAGTTAATGCACTTCCACTTCAAATTTTTTTTATTGAGACATGTGGCTCATTACTTTAATTACAAATGATATCCAATTTGATATTTTTTACTATGATGATTGCTTTAACCCTTTTATTTATATTACTCTCTAATTTTAAGGCTTTCAGCTATCTTACATTCTTAATTTGAAGTAGTTTGAGTCTAGAGAGGAAAGATGTTTTTAATTACTTTTACTGTGATAATAGTCACTTAACAAATTAGAATTATTTCTTATTCTGGACAAGTCATTAATTGCATAGGTATATGTAGATCCTAGTGTTCAATCTTTTACCATATTTGCTGAGTGTTTAGCTTTCATATTTTTGGAATGAGAGTGCCTGTCTCAAGCTTAAAAAATGTCATATGGTCAGTACGTAAGTTCAGTTGGCTACTATAGCTCTGAGTATGGCTTGGGAAACTCATCACCTCAACTCTACTGTGCCAGCAATCTCATTGGGAAACCATCTTGTTACCCAGCTTCTGGAGATGATCCTCGAGTCTACTCTCTGGTAATAAAATTGCATATGTTACATGTTTGCATGTTATGCTCTTCATATATAACTATAAAGTTTTAATTAGCTGTCATGTATGACTGACCAGCATATGCCTTTTAGTCTTGAATCAGTTTACACCTAAAACAGTTTCCACATTATCCATCCTATCTCTACCCTTTCTGCACTTTATTTCTAATCCATGTAGTAATTTCACAATCAAAACTAACAGTATGTAATGTCGCTATGGTGTGGGTGATTGCAAATTTAAACATTTTTTGCTAAGTTAGGATGGGGCTCTTGTCTTCATGGTCTTAAAACAAGAAACTGTCAAGGGTTAAATTTGGCTTCATAATTAGTTAAGAACATTGTAGATACCTATAGCTACTCAAAAAATTCAAATAAGCAGAAAAATTTTATCTATTGTAAGACATTACCATATGTCTACAGTTCCTTATGATAAAAAACTAATAATCTGCAAGATTTTTAATGAATGCTTAATCACAGGTCATTGAAAGCTCATTACATTTTCCTCAAAAAAATTATTTTTATCTTTTTCTGACTATTTTCAGCTAAATTTTTGAAAATATGTTACCTCTACTGCTGAATGTTAACCCAAAAAATTTGTTTACTTACTAATCAAAGTTGACATATTGGGTTTTTATAAATTAGGAGAAATATACGCAAGTATAGAAAAATTAATATAACTTGTTGCAGAGAGACAAGAAAGCATCAAGTTTATTATTTTATGCTACTGGTATACAAAAAGATGAAATAAATTTATAAATATGTATGTTCATGCTATACCTTTGTCTTATATAAAAATTTTTTCAGTGTGAATTTGGAGAATGGTGGTCAACATGTCCCTCTGCCCTGCCCACACTGCCTTTGAGACGTCCGCCTCGCATACCAGCTCTTGCATTCATTGGTCAGAAGGGAAACTACTACATATTCAACAAACAGTTGTAAAACTTGAAGTTCCAATGCTGCAATCTTCTTTGTTTTTCAACTATGAGGCTTATCCCTGTTTAAATTTTGGTCAAGTCATGATTAGTGTGCAGCATTAATTCTTACAAGAATTGTCTGCCAGGACCCAATCTGGTATGAGTTATCTGTGCTATGGCCTACAAGCCAAAAACATTTTTATCTTTAACTGTTGTTCAAGTGCCTGATACTGCTTTCTAGATTTCATTACCCTCCTTTGATTTTGTTTAACCTATATGAATTTTTTTCAATGATTTTCCATTTTGCAACTTTATTTCAAGCATGAAATTTTGTAATCTATCTTCCACTTCAGACTTGAAGTTTGCCGAAGCTGTTGTTCCTGAGCAAGTGGATATATTTGAAACATGTGAGAGCGGGACAGTGGTCAGGATTTGGGCCTGGGAAGCCACTACTGCTGATAGCCATGATTCGGCCTGCAGCAGTGGCCGCTGGTTGCTGCTCTATGATGGCCAGCCATGTGTCTTGAGTGCTGCCACTGCTCGAAAGTTCTCGCCTCCTCTCCGCTCCATTGATGTTCCAGTGACGTAAGTTGTGGTGCCTATGCCTGAATGTCTTCATTTTTGTTACCATTCAACTTTTTTTTAGGAAACTGACTTATTAACTGCTTCATCAAGTTTTTGTTGTTGTTTTTAGTGATGTATTCCCACTGAAATTTGTGAAAACAGGTATTCGTGAATGAAAATATGTTAAAAATTGATTAAGATGTGTGAATAATAGTACCTTTTATTATATGGAGCAATAGAACAAGAATTTCTCTGAGAATTCACTGGACAATCTATAAAAAATTTTTAACACCACAACTGAAAATGTTTGACACTCTTTGAACTTTACTGTACATTCTTCTCAAGTTAATTTTATTTAAATTTTAGATGTTTGTAAGAAATTTGGAATTGTTACTTTTACTTTGAAAGCTCTTGGTACAATGTTTGGAAATTTTTTTCAATTGAGCTGGTTGAATGACTTTATTTAATGTCAATTTCAGTAATGTAATCACCAACTACCCGTATTGTATGTCTGATGCACAGTGTAATTTGTAGTCTGAAATGACATAGGTACATTAATAATTTGTTGATGTAGGTACGGGTATATGTAATTTCAAGCCTAGCATTCTCGTGCAATAATTCAGAAACGTAATATTGAATTTTAACATTATAAAATTATATTTATGTTAACATGCTGAACTAATTATCAAAAATGCAGCATTCTCATTAATGCATGTTAACAAGATCAGCTGTAGCAAAATTCAACTTCAATATTCAATTAGTTGCTAGATTTTTTTGTCTAACTGAATTTATTTTAATTTGCATAGCACTTTGCGCCTTGAGCTGAACTACACACTGAGCAAGCACTACCCATGCATCGATGCCATCCTACTGACTGGCTCAAGCAAACCTCCTGCTGATTTGAAGCATTTTCAACATTTTCCATCACAAATTTTTGCTGCCAACTGTACGAGTGTATCCCCCAACTCCAACCACTCTTCTGACCATGTCTGTGATGGCTCTCTTGATGGTTCGGGCGCCATGCAGACTCACGAATCTCTCGACAATCTGACATCTAGTCTCCCAGTTTCTGGTTTAATTAATTGCGAGGATAATGAATCTCGGGACCAACTTAGGATCAATGAAAGAACCTGCAGTTCAGCTACTGTAGATTTTGTACCCAACTCTAACACTGTGGAAGATCTGGCAAACCTGAACATATGCAACAAAGTTGTCATGCATGGACTACAAAATCAACTAAGGTGAGAGCTTCATGTAAACTCTTAGTTTATTAAAGTTGTAACTTGCTTTTACTTCCCATAATTTTTTGTTGAATGGCTTTGCATTAGCACTGGCAAAGCATACATTATTGTATTATTCAATTCTGATTAACCAAAGTATAGTTATGTTATATTGTTGCTGAAACTTTATTTTTCTAAGGGTGCTGGATGACATTCTACTTGATGGTCCCAGGCACATCGCGTCTTGCTCAATTGAGAATCTTGTTCAATTTTTTGGTGGCAGTTCTGCTCCTTCTGATCCTGTAGCTTCCGAAGAAAAAGAAAATAGCTGCTCTCAACTGCCTTCTTTTGCCCATGAGGTTGAAAATTTGACGCCTACAAGTAACATTGCTAATGCAACTGGAACCGAAGTACAGAAAGATTATAATTTGAAGGAATATCATCAGCAAGCTGTCCTCAACTCAGGGTCTTGTGAGCCTCCTGAGCAAGATGTTGATTTCTTCCAAATGCTCCCCGTGAGTTTTGCATTTAAGGTTCTTGTATCACGCATGTCATGAAATTCAAAAGTGAACAAAATATGCACATAAAAAGGTTAGAAGCTATTTCACCAAATGCTTAGGCCAATTTTTTGGGCAAATAAAGAAAATCAATGTTTTTGCATGATGAATATATTTTCATAGTAAATGTTTCATTTATAAATAATAGTTTTTTCATGGAATACCCGAGCAACTATTTTATTTTCTCATGATATTCAATCGGCATCTCTTGCAGAGTAAATTTTTCTGCAGAGCCAATTTTTAGAAAGCAGACCACTGCAACCATAATTGTTTGAAATTATGCTCCTCATGCCACTTTTCCTTGCAAATTGATGTACATTATTTTATTTCCCTGCAGCCTGAAGTCATGCTGCGCGTGCTGTCACTGCTGGACCTGCGCAGTCTGTGCCGCATTGCCCAGAGCTGCTGTGCTCTGCGCCAGCTGGCCTACCACCCTCAGCTCTACACGCACCTCTCACTCAAGGTAAGATATCTCTCTATGTACTCTATAGATAATCTCCCTATATGCTTTCCTTCTGTAGTACTTTCTATATGGTACTCTCCTTTTATATTTATACATGAATACTCACCCAGTGTTCCATACCCTGGCAGGAGTACCTGTTTCTTCTTCTTCGCTACTGACATTTGCCATCAGTTTATCTCCAGCCTGAACTTCTATCATTGTTCTTGGATTGTTAAGAAACTGTTCAAAATTATTCATAACTTATCGTTACGCTGTTACGTTTGAAAACTGTTTTACTATTCCTAAAATATATTTCCTGATTTAACTTATTTACACTTAATTTCAGGCCTGATCATGTCATTCTGTTGTATTGTATGTGCCTACTGATCTCAAAATGGTGAAATTAATCAACAATTGGGTTCACTCTATTGTCATAGTGATTGATGTTGCTAGGAACTTAACTATGTGAAGCAAGTTGAAATGTAATTTGCCAATAAAATTTTCATTATTCTAGAATTTTTAATATCTTATTGCATTGCAAAAATTCGTGCATAAGAAATTATGACTTGATATCAATCAATACTTCACACTTCTGTGTTTGAATCTATTTCTTTGGGGCATTTCCAATTTGAATCATTGTCTACAATCTAGATTATGAACAAAGTAACGAACGAGTTTGGTATACCCAGGACTGGTGGTCAGTGGTGAATGACAGAGCCCTGACGTCACTGCTGACGCGTTTGACGAGGACCAATAATCGTCTGCAGAGCTCCTCATCAGTCGAGTCTGGCAACTGCATCAGTGACCACAACAATCTGCGCTCTGGCTCCACCGAAGAAATAAATAACCCTAACAATGATGCTGATGTATCCTGTCCTAATAGGATAACTTCAAACAACTCATCTTTGTCAAACCACGAATCTCCTTTGTTCATGTCTTTGGATGAAGACTTGAACACTTCATTTGAGGGCCATTTATCTTGCATATATGGAACATTGCAGTCGCTTGACTTATCCTGGTGCGGTCTTTATGGTGGTGTAAGCTGCCCCACATTCTTGGACTTTATTCACAAATGTGGCCCCAAACTACGCATTCTTAGACTCAGCTGCTGTGACTTCGTTGACAGCTATTGTCTTTATATGATCGCAAATGTGTGTCAGCATTTGACAGGTTAGCATTGATTCTGGATGTCTTATATTTGAAATATTAAAGTTAATCACGGACGTGTACCAGTTAGTTTTAATTATAATTGTGAACCTACTTTTGCCAGTAAATGTTTTTGTCATCTTATTCACTTTTGAGAAACGTATTTATCTTGTAATCGCTATGACTGGTTTGTTGCAGAGCTAGACATCTCGCGCTGCTATCAGCTGGACTTCCTGGGCCTGGGCGAGCTGAAGAAGCTGAGTCAGCTGACGCGTCTGGACGTGAGCTACACAAGCCTCAGGACAGACACGGCGCACGTGTTGCTGCAGCACCTGCCTCACCTGCGCCACCTCAGCATCAGGGGCTGTCAGGTGATACTTACACTGCCACTCTAGACCTGCCACTCCCCCTTACGTCATATCATCAGATCACAGCCACTCTAGACCTGCCACTCCTCCTTACGTCCTATCATCAGATCACANAGCCACCCCCTTTACGTCCTATCTTCAGATCACAACCACTCGCTCCCTATCGTCAGATCACAGCTCAAATGGACCTGCCACTCATGCCCTATCATCGGATCACAGCCACTTTAGACCTGCCACTCCCTCTTACGTTCTATCATCAGATTACAGCCACCCCCTTTACGCCCTATCTTCAGATCACAACCACTCGCTTCCTATCGTCAGATCACAGCTCAAATGGACCTGCCACTCATGCCCTATCATCGGATCACAGCCACTGCAGACCCACCACTCACCTTCAATCTCCCCTAGGACCTGCGGATGGACGAGGTGTGCGTGTCGCTGTCCCTGTTCTGCCCGGCGCTGGAGTCGCTAGTCGCCTGGAAAACGAAGGGCGTCACGCACCGCGGCTTGCGTGCCCTCGCCGAGCTTCCCTGCCTGCGCGATTTGGACCTCGGCTGGGCCTTCGCCAACGCCAACGGCCTCGCCGGCAGTCAGTGTCTAGTTTAACATCTTAAATAAAACTACAGAATCAATCAGTTAATAAAACCGTACAAACCTCAAATTGTTTAGCACTTAACTTGCTGCTCTTTGATATCGTTAATGACGCACGAGTTGCCACAGCACAGCGCCACTTCGACGCTCCTCGATAATAACCGTATAATACTGGTCAGAACCACTGTTTATGCGGATTGATTACAACATGATAACTACCATGCTACTTCGATCTCGGAAGTTTGTGGTTCAGTCTTGTCAATAGATCGTTTCTATTGAAAATCGCCCAATAAGTGTGTGGTGACTGTGATATTGACTATGAGTGTTATTATTTTCATTTTGCCTTTTTCAACATCTTTCATGTCGATGATCTGTTTATTCGGGTTGATACAAGCTGAAGTTAAATGCACGTAGGCGTTTGCATTATAATCTTTATCAATATGATTATTATTCATCTTCTTTGTGTAAATTTTGAATCATCACTCTCTCACTGTCAATAAAAGTGTGAATGACATCGTCTAATAATACTCATTCTTTTTTCAATTGTTTGTGTTTTAATCACATTTGATTCACCTACACCTTATGCATCGACCTTACGATTTCATTATCTATTTTTGCCCCTATGTGTCATAAACACTCTTGTGGGCAGTACTGCTTATATGCTTATTATATACTTATGGTTTTATTTATTTTTTTTACTGGATTTGCGAACCAGTTAATAATAAGTAATATATATAAGTAAGTGAATAGATGTTGACATGTAAAATTAATAAGTGTCATTTGTCGCCAGTTCTTTTCGTGAACGTGATTGAGTGCCTGCACTCAACACGAGGGTTTATCTATATAAATTTCTAGGAACATTCAGAGAGCCTTATATTTGTTGTCAGGCGTGACGGAGCTGACGCAGCGATGTCAGCAGCTGTGCCGCCTGCGTCTTACCGCCTGTCGTTACCTCAGCGACGCCGACGTCAGCAGCATCGCCAGCTCCTGCCCGCGCCTCGAGCAGCTCGACCTGACGGGCAACGCCAACATAAGCGCTGACGCTGTCGAGAGGTGGTGTTGCTGACGCTGTTGAGAGGTGGTGTTGCTGACGCTGTTGAGAGGTCGTGTTGCTGACGCTGTTGAGAGGTCGTGTTGCTGACGCTGTCGAGAGGTCGTGTTTACCGTTTACCCTCGGTATAACACTGGCTGAGTAAAGCTGCATAACGCTGGACTTATGACCGGCTACAATCAAAATGAAATATAATTAACAGGGGAGGTAAAAAATGCTAGTAAAGCTTACAATTTAGGAACTTGGAATCCGTATTTCTACGAAGTTCGTTTCTAATTATGAAATTAAAGTTATCAATATACAGATTTTTCTGATGCTTCATAATCTATATTCATTAGAGAAACTATAGTAGATTTATTACAAATCGTTATTAATAATTTATTTTGTGTCGTGAACCCATTAGACAAATACATATGATTTTAATAACGATGATGACAAGGCGTGATGCAGGGTGACACAATAAGATAACGATGATGACAAGGCGTGAAGTAGGGATGACTCGATAAGATAACGATGCTGTGCCTCTTGTGCTGCAGTGTACTGCAGAGCTGCCGGCGTCTACGGCTGCTGGAGGTGAGCTACTGCGCTATGATCCCTCGCCCCGTGACGGACGCTTGGCGACGCCGCTACCCGGCCGTCCTCATCGTCGCCGCCTGCGACGCTCACCACGCCGCCTTCGTCTGAACACCTCGCCGCCTTCGTCTGAACACCTCGCCGCCTTCGTCTGAACACCACGCCGCCTTCGTCTGAACATAGCCACATTACATAGCCGCCTAATTCCTAGAAATTCCTAAATTCGTAATTCCTAGGAATTTCCTAGGTGCCTAATTCCTAATTCACCACGCCGCCTTCGTCTGAACATAGCCACATTACATGGCTGCCTAATTCCTTAGCAATTTTTCCTAATTCCTAAATTCGTAATTCCTAGGAATTTCCTAGCTGCCTAATTCCTAATTCACCACGCCGCCTTCGTCTGAACACAGCCACATTACATAGTTGCCTATTGCCTTCAGATTATGTGTGTTTGGAAAATCGCGCTGTAAAGAGACGAAAACACTATAATATCTTATTGTTCAAATTGTACTGAACACCGCTTGTACGTAGACTTTGTGATTGTTTTCAGTAGAACTAAAGTAACTTTGCTGTAAGAGATCCTATTACCGGGCCCAGTCTTGAATGTAGTTATTAGCGCTTTTTGTTGCGCTTTCCCGCCTAATGCGGTGTTGTTATTATAAGCAGTTGAAGCATCCCTGTCGTACCTGATAACTATTGTGATATTAGGCTAGAATATCCCGCTTTTTTATACTTACTTTGTACACAGCTTTACTTTTACCTATTTTAGAAATCTGCGTAGATATTTTTTTGCAATTGTTGTCTTCATGTTGCATTGCTAGGTCATTATCAAGGATATACTAGTGTTGTTTTCCGTTGTTCTTGTTAGTATTCTGATTTTCACGACAATACTCGTTTATTCAACCTTATGATGTATTTTTCTTCGTCTTTCAAGCGCTTCTATTGTAGTTCTGTATAATTTGAATTTTGAAAGTCTCGGATCGTGTAGTTCGTAATTAATTCGTATTGTTTTGAGTTACAAGTTGAATGTATTTATGCTGGTGTTACTATTCCTGAACCGTCGTAACAACCCAAGCTAGTATCTAAACCAATCAACCATCATCATAAATGTTCTTTTTATTGTAGCAGTGGAAGGGATGTTCGTAATTCGTTTGATATTCAAGATATTGTTCATAATTTAATGATGCAATGTGAGTTGAAAATCCCCTAGCAGTTTTTGATCCATGTATGTCGGTATTATTGTGCATTCGTTAATTTTCTTCATAAGAATCACTATAACCAACGCAATTCACCTCTTGAGACTCGTTATAGAAATATTACTAGTCAAGAAACGAGTAAAGTTGTTCATTTGGCTCTGAGATCTGCACGATTTCACCCCATACCTACTCTTAAAATTCGAATAAAGTGTTTTGAGGGTCGCATTCTGCTTAGTTATCCCCAAGCGTGTCGCTGATCGGCAAGGAGTTGAAGGTATTTCGTTGATCCGTCCGAAGTCAGCGTTTCTGCTTTTGCTGAACGAAATAATTCTGCGTGTGAAACCAATCAATTCCATTGCGCGCGGTATTGCGATTGCGGCGTATTTGGAAAATGAGGTCAGAACAATTTTTTTAACATTTGTACGTTGTTTGCCAGCTATGTTGTACACTCCGATATTAAAGCTCATTTTCAAGTCACAAGAATATAAATATCTAGCATCTGTCTGTGACATCATAATATAGCAAAACGTTAGAGTTAAAAAACATTAAAGTGTTGTAGAGAGGCTGGCCGTACATCGGCTTAATGTGCTAATTGTGAGCAAATAAATTTAGTTACAGTACACAAAATATACAATGCTGGCATTTTTACAAACCACTGCAATTAAAATTGAATAATAATTTCTTTGTGTTTGTTCGTTTGCCCATGAAGGCCTAACTTATTTGCATCCGCTGCTGTGTTCCAAAGGGCCTGGTACTGTACAACGAGGTGACAATTAGACCATTGACGGGGTAACTTGGACAGTTGCGATAATTAAGAAAATAAAACCCTTAGACAAATTGTGTTGAATGCTCTTGACGTACCATGAGATAACCTACAAATGCAATATAATTAAATACTTCATAGATTTACTATGTGACTATTTGTATCACAAAAACGTCAACGCTGAAAATTTTCCTTCCAAGTCACCCCGTCAATCGCCCAAGCCACCCTTTTGCAGTAATTTAAGTCGAAATTTTTCAAACCCATATTTTCAGTCTGAAATCACTGGCGTTTTTTTTCTGCTTGGCCTGCGTCTCAATTTTCCAAAAATCATTAACTGCAGTCAAAATAGAAAAAGACAGCCGGAAGGACCTGCAGTAACACGATGAAATTTTTTAGAAAAAAAAAAGAAATTAAGAAAGATGACGTGATGAAAACATAGTGCGCTTTGTGCAGCTCATCGAGGTGCAAATTTTAAACTGAAAGATGTAAATCAGAGAAGCTTTAGCAGCATTCTGGTGAATTAGCTATGATCCTTACTCAAGGTGAATTTGATCCATTTTTTCTGCTCTAAAGCCCGGTCCACACGCTCAGTTTTCACAACGATTTGTCTGCGCAGTTTTAAGTCGGATTGAAATCGTTGCAATTTTTAGAGCGTCCACACGGTACCGACTTATCTGAGTAGTTTGCTCAGTTTTGCGCGATCTCGCCATGGAGACGTCTCGGACAAATTTTACGGCCGGTCTCCCCAAATTCGGCGAGCATGGAATATCTCCCGAAGTAATGAACGTAGCTCGATAAAACTTGGTACACGTATTCATTAGGACTTAACGGTGATGTTTAGCATGTGACAAATTTTTTTCGATTTTGCCTTTGTTTGCGAGTTATACGGCTTTATCTAATCTAAAAAATTTTCACGAGCTAAACATCGCCGTTGGGAGGTTAGGTTTCTATATTCAACGTTTCGTTAAAATCTGTACAGTAGTTAAGAAGAAATGTCATTCTCACTGCAAATTTCAGCACGTATCGTCATATAACTCAGGAATGAAGGTGAAATTCCAAAAATGTTCACGAGCTAAACATCACCGTTAAGTCCTAATGAATACGTGTATCAAGTTTTATCGAGCTACGTTCATTACTTAGGGAGATATTCCATGCCCATCGAATTTGGGGAGACCAGCCGTAAATTTATCCGAAACGTGCCATGGAGAAGGCAGTATTTTCATAAATTTTGGCATTGTGCCTTGTCAAAAAAGAGATTGAATCATTTAGGGATTGCGAGGAATCAAAATACAAGAGAGATGGCTTGTAGATGTCTTCTTTTCCAGGTCCAGTAATTTTACTTGCCAAATGCAAGAAAAACTTTCGTATAGAAAACCAATAAATTCCCGAGAACATTACCGAAGGTCCGCCATGGTCGCCAGAATCATTGAAACTGAGCACAAATCGAATCGGAAAACTGTGCGACCGTCCACACGTTCCGACTTGTCTGCGCAGTTCATCGAAATCTATGCTCGGTAGCTCAGATTTCGATGGGACTGCGCAGTTTTCCCGCCGGCTCCAAAACTGCGCAGTTTTCCCGTCCACACGCAACGTTTTATCTGCAACGATTAGAACTGCGCAGACAAATCGTTGTGTAAAACTGAGCGTGTGGACCGGGCTTAAGAGTTGAATGACACGGCATGACTTCATCTCAGCTCCTGCCTCGCGGCGGCCCCGCAGGTCAGTGCGAGGCAAACGTCAGGCGTGTGTGGGTGTGCGGTGCTAAGCGGCTGATGGTCTCTACCCGAAGTCTATAATTTAATTGCTTTGTGTACAGCAAAAACATGAAAAAAATCTGCGCAACCATCTGCTAAGGATTTTCTTAACAACGTCAACATACTTTAGTAGCTAGGAAATCTCTTGCTGGTAAGTAATGAAACTTGGGCATAATTTTTTTTTACACTACAAACTATATTTCAAAATTTAGCCAAACGATGCTTCAGGATCAGCTGCTGCCTAATTCTGAGATACTTTCCGCCTCGAGTCTAACTCTAACCTGTTCAATGTCAGCAATACTTGTGAGACTTGGCGTCTGAGGACTCGATTTGGAAATGTGTTTAGATTCATGTCGCTAAGTCGAATTATAAAGCAAATAAGTTGTGGAAAAGATTCATGTCGCTTCGACTTTAATTGAATTGTAATACAAAGAACTTAAGAAGTTGCGGGATGATGAAGGCTAGCTGTCTTTAGTATATTTATATTAATTATTTCCATGTTACGGTGAATGGATGTCAAAATTGTTATCAGAATTATTGTAAAAGATAATTATGCCGAATAGGAGTGAAGGCTTTACAACTGACCAAGGAACTAATTTAGTAATTACCTTGGGGTTAAAAAATGTCTTCCGTTCGTGAAGATTTTCTTTGACTTTTTAAAAATATTACACAATTCACAGCAAATTCAAAAGTTGCAAAGAACAATGTGTGAGATTCGTATAATCAGCAGCCTGAATTTCAACTTATACTGTAATAAATGCTCGTAATATATTCAGGCAAAATGAAGTCGAAATCTTGTTTTGAAGATTGCAATGCGTTAGCAGCATTCAGAACAGCTCAGTTACTAAGTTCAGCCGTTGATTTCTGTCTATAAAACCATCATTGACACGCATTTTCGTGAAAGGGATAAGCCGTTTTCATAATAATATTAAGTAATATAAATTTAATGACGAAATTTGTATATATAATCGGCATGCAAGACAGACCTGTCGTGTGCGACTCTGGAATTAGTATAGCAAGCAATGCAGTTCATTTGCGAATACCGAAGTCCAAGTGTCGCAAGCAAGCTCCAGTCAATGCATACACAAAATGTGAAGCCTCTCTCCATCATAGATTTACTTTGATAGATTGTTAGATTACTTGATTCGATTATTAGATTATAATCAGATTATTTGATTTTCCAATGGCAAAAAATACATCTTCTTGGGGACATTTTTTATTGTCCCCTACAAAGAATATCCGCTTTGGTAAACAATTGCATGAGAACGATGCATGATATGGGTGGAGAGCCGTGGGATTAGTTTCTTGCGCGGCGTTATGTTTCAACAGAGCTTGTTGAATGTCAATCAACTTTATTCCGCATTGGAAATATGCTCGCAATTGAAACACGTTCGGCCATTAATTAAGTGGCCTCTAATCATTCGGTCTGTAGGTGGCCTCTGATGAATCGGCCAATATGCGGCCTCCGATAAGTTGCCCAATGAGTGACTTTTGATGATTCGGCCGTTAAATGGCCTCCCAAAATTCGGCATATAAGTGGACACCGATAATTCAGCCTTAATTAACACTGTATTCAGCTGTCAAGGCCTCATGTTTCACAGCTCTCATGGATCACACTTGGACGGGGCAGTTGGCTGTGAAGTGTGAACTACTGCACAGCTTTTTTTATTACTAGTAAAATGTTGACGTTTGTCCCATTGTGATAAACTTTGATGTTGATGATGGATGTAGTGCATTGCATCTTTTTATTACTTCGGTTCAAGATGCGATTTCATACTAGTTTATGAATAGATGGGTGGCTCCTAAATTTCCTTTACCAATCTTATGTCTAACTTTCATGTTTCATAATACATTATTTACTTAAGTAAATGAACATCAAATGAAGTTGATGTTCATCAATCGAAATTTTAAAGACAGCATCAAGTTGATGGTCATACATTAAAGGTTTAAAGACAATGTTATGGGTGTGCGATTATTGTGTACTAGCGTTAGTTTAAGCACAAAATAATTCTGCTTTAACATAAAAATTGTTCGAAATAGAAAATAATAACTTACAGCGCGATTGTTATTTCATTTAAGAGCACGTATAATTAGAGCTATGAGTATATATACATATGTTGTCATACAAGGAATTTTCCAGTAGTCAACCACCACCACATTTTTGAAGCATTTCGTGAATGTAATTTCTGCTCAAGGAAAGGGGATTTCTGATACTTTTAAATGCACTTCCCTTTAATCTTGTGCATATTTTATTTTGTGTACTTGATTCTTTTCTTTTGATGGCTTGGTTCATGTTTTTAGTCATGGCCAGTACTGGCCGAAACCATTTCTTTCTCTTTAAATCCTTATTATTATACCTTGAATTAGAATTTACTTTCCATATCATTTGAATAATAACCGATCATTAAGAGAATGCATCCATGTTCGCTTTCATCTCCTCCTTAGTTGTGCAGTCGGTAGACTTCGAAAAAAATCTACTAAAATGGAGAAAGTTACAGGACCTTCTTCCCTCTGTAATTTGCTCTCGGAAAATAACCCCATCCGCTCTGCCCCAGGTCGTTCGTTACAGCCTACGGAATTATTTTTTATCAAGATGAATTTAAAAGGTCGGTCACACCTGTGATTTACTCCCTTATTTTTTCGTAGCTGAGTTTCTCATACGAAAAAACTTAGGATTACATGCAGCGGGCGCTTGTGTTAGACATTTCAGTGTTTCTCTCGTGTTGCTTTCGGACATTTTTCCTGCGCACCCATGCCCTTGTATGCCCAGATTTTTTGAAGACTACCGAGCTTATATACTTTTATTGATAAGTAACCCAGTAGGCATTCGGTGGTTGAATCAACGTTGAATCAACTACGCATTACGACATTGAGATCGGGGTGAAAGGAGGTTTAGAATGAAAATTGAAGCAACATCTTTCATGCAACGTCGTACTGACGTTACAATTCAACGTTGAATCAATGTTGCTACTACGACGTTGCTGCAACGTTGAATGACATTGATCGGACGTTTAATTTTGGTTGTTCAGCACTTCAACCTGATATCAACATTGATTCAACGTTTAAAAATAAATAAACATTCAACGTACCAATATCGACGTTGTTTCAACGTTGAAATAAGGTTATTTTACATCCGTTTCAGTTTTGATCAGATTTTGACGTTGATCGGACGTTTAATTTTGGTTGTTCAGCATTTCAACCTGAAATCAACATTGATTCAACGTTTAAAAATTAGTAAGAATTCAACGTGTCAATATCGACGTTGTTTCAACGTTGAAATAAGGTTGTTTTACGTCCGTTCTAGTTTGGTCTGATTTCGACGTTGATATGACGTTTAATTTTGGTTGTTCAGCACTTCAACTTGAAATCAACATTGATTTAACGTTTAAAAATTAGTAAACATTCAACGTACCAATATCGACGTTATTTCCACGTTGAAATAAGATTGTTTTACATCCGTTCTAGTTTTGATCAGATTTCGACGTTGACGATTGGACGTATAATTTGGGTTGTTCAGCATCTCAACCTGATATCAACATTGATTCAACGTTTAAAAATTAGTATAAATTCAACGTACCAATATCGACGTTATTTCAACGTTGGAATAAGTTTGTTGTACGTCCCTTCTAGTGTTGGTCAGATTTCGACGTTGATATGGCGTTTAATTTTGGTTGTTCAACATTTCAACCTGAAATCAACCAATAATCAACGTTGTTTCAACGTCAGATGCCTGCTGGGAAGTGTCCCTCAGGCTCGCCCCATGCAAGCTTGGTCGGATCCTCGGCGATGAGTGAACCAATGTTTGGAACCGTTCACCAACCTTTTTTAAATATCTATTCACTTGTGTACGAAAGTGCAGCCAATGATCAGCTTCTCCCATTTCAAGTTTTTTCTTAATTTCCGCTACTTACACTTAAGAAGACCTCGTAAAGAGGTGTCTAATTCAACATTGGGTTGGTTATGTCAAGCGGTGCTCCCTCCCATTTCCAGTTGTTTTTTTCTTCTAATTTCCGCTGCTTAAATGCAACAAGAACTTGTTACGAGGTTGATACGTCAAACCACGGATTGGTTTTGTCAGCGGGTGATCCGCTTCTTATTTTTCCAGCTGCTTCCCTAGTTTCCGCCACTTGCATGTACAAAAATACCTACGAACGAGGTGGAAATGTTGGTATGGTCCGGGTTGGATATGTCAACCCCCGGTTTGGTTAAGTCAACCGGTGATCCATACTCATTTTTCAAGTTCTCTCTTAATGTCCGCCACTTGCATGTGTAAGAAGACCTTATAATGACTAGGTTAATTACGAGGTTGTTAATTCAACCCCCGACACCCTCTCCTGCAATCAGAGCAGGACCTCCGACGCTCATCTCATCGTCAGGCAGCGGCAAATCAACGGCGCGCGCAGCAGGCGTGAACGTTTGCAATTTTTACCTTCTTTGCGACCTGGCTGGAAGTTTTTCCTTAGCTTTTCTTGATCAGGGCAGATCAAGTTGGTCTTTTTAATTTCTCGATCATGTATGAAGGTAGATTCTTCGCTTCTTGATAAGAAAGATCATGTTAGTCTTTTTGATCAAGTACGTATAAAGATAGCTTCGTTGCATTTTGATCAAGAAAGATATCTAGCTAGCCTTCTTTAACATGTATGAAGGAAATTCCTTCGCTTCTTCATAAGGAAAGATCAAGTTAGTCTTCGCAATCAGGTATGGAGGTACCGTAGCTGCTTTGCTTTTTGATCGAGAAAGATCAAGTTTCATTTGGACATCTAGCTTCATCGCAGAAGCTGTCGTTTGGACAAGACGCAGGGTTTGTTTTGGCTGACTGTTTCTTCATTCGAATGCGAACTTGTACCGAACCCAAAGTCCGCGGTTATTCATATCTTTGTGTTGTATAACGTGACACTTGATTATATTTTTTGGTGATCTAACTATACTTTTTTGGAAATGTAGGTCTGTCATCGGCATTTGCACAATTTTTTACTTGTGAATTTTCAAAATGCCTCTATGGGTCAGTTTTTTAACAATGGTCGTTATGTGAGCTGACCGAATGATAGTAGTTATTAATGATAATTGGACGAGTACCAATCATGGCAGGCATAATCATTTTATGAGAAGAGAATGGTTGTTGCTATGATTATTGTTTCAGAGCGGGATGAT